TTTATATTTTTTGGTTTAACATCATAAATACGATTGGGTTGTTTTTTCTTTAAAATATTGTTATAAATGGCAATAAGGAAGAAATGAAAAATTTATTGAAATAAAGAAAAGTTCGACTTAGCTCAAAAGAAAGTACTATTTAGATAATACCTAGATTTTCCAAAATAGATACATTTTTTCCCAGATGTAAATATTCTAGAATAAATCGATTTTTCTCAGATAATAATTGTTTAGATTAGATTAACTCCTAGAATAGATCGACTTTTCTCGACGAAAAGTTTTCTAGAGATAATATTTTCCTGAAAGAAAAGTTGTCTAGAATAGATCAAGAATAAAGATCGACTTTTCTCAGAGGACTGAATCAGAACTGAACTAGAACTGAACAAGAACTGAACAAAAACAAAGAACTGAACAAGAACTGAACAAGAACTGAACGAACTGAAAAACTGAACAACTGAACTAAAACTGAACTAAAACTGGACTAGAACTGAACTAGAACTGAACTAGAACTGAACTAGAACTGAACTAAATGAACTAGAACTGAACTAGAACTGAACTAGAACTGAACTAGAACTGAACTAGAACTGAACTAGAACTGAACTAGAACTGAACTAGAACTGAACTAGAACTGAACTAGAACTAGAACTGAACTAGAACTGAACTAGAACTGAACTAGAACTGAACTAGAACTGAACTAGAACTGAACTAGAACTGAACTAGAACTGAACTAGAACTGAACTAGAACTAGAACTGACTAGAACTGAACTAGAACTAGAACTGAACTAGAACTAGAACTGAACTAGAACTGAACTAGAACTGAACTAGAACTGAACTAGAACTGAACTAGAACTGAACTAGAACTGAACTAGAACTAGAACTGAACTAGAACTGAACTAGACTGAACTAGAACTGAACTAGAACTGAACTAGAACTGAACTAGAACTGAACAACTAAACTGAACTAGAACTGAACTAGAACTGAACTACAACTGAACTACAACTGAACTAGAACTGAACAAGAACTGAACTAGAACTGAACTAGAACTGAACTAGAACTGAACTAGAACTGAACTAGAACTGAACTAGAACTGAACTAGAACTGAACTAGAACTGAACTAGAACTGAACTAGAACTGAACTAGAACTGAACTAGAACTGAACTAGAACTGAACTAGAACTGAACTAGAACTGAACTAGAACTGAATTAGAACTGAACTAGAACTGAACTAGAACTGAACTAGAACTGAACTAGAACTGAACTAGAACTGAACTAGAACTGAACTAGAACTGAACTAGAACTGAACTAGAACTGAACTAGAACTGAACTAGAACTGAACTAGAACTGAACTACTGAACTAGAACTGAACTGAAACTGAACTAGAACTGAACTAGAACTGAACTAGAACTGAACTAGAATTGAACTAGAACTGAACTAGAACTGAACTAGAACTGAACTAGAACTAGAACTGAACTAGAATGAACTAGAACTGAACTAGAACTGAATTAGAACTGAACTGGAACTGAACTAGAACTGAACTAGAACTGAACTAGAACTTTTTTTTTATTTAATAATAGAACTGAACTGGAACTGAACTAGAACTGAACTAGAACTGAACTAGAACTGAACTAGAACTGAACTAGAACTGAACTAGAACTGAACTAGAACTGAACTAGAACTGAACTAGAACTGAACTAGAACTGAACTAGAACTGAACTAGAACTGAACTAGAACTAACTGAACTAGAACTGAGAACTGAACTAGAACTGAACTAGAACTGAACTAGAACTGAACTAGAACTGAACTAGAACTGAACTAGAACTGAACTAGAACTGAACTAGAACTGAACTAGAATGAACTACTAACTGAACTAGAACTGAACTAGAACTGAACTAGAACTGAACTGAACTAGAACTGAACTACAACTGAACTAGAACTGAACAAGAAACTGAACTAGAACTGAACTAGAACTGAACTAGAACTGAACTAGAACTGAACTAGAACTGAACTAGAACTGAACTAGAACTGAACTAGAACTGAACTAGAACTGAACTAGAACTGAACTAGAACTGAACTAGAACTGAACTAGAACTGAATTAGAACTGAACTAGAACTGAACTAGAACTGAACTAGAACTGAACTAGAACTGAACTAGAACTGAACTAGAACTGAACTAGAACTGAACTAGAACTGAACTAGAACTGAACTAGAACTGAACTAGAACTGAACTAGAACTGAACTAGAACTGAACTAGAACTGAACTAGAACTGAACTAGAACTGAACTAGAACTGAACTAGAACTGAACTAGAACTGAACTAGAACTGAACTAGAACTGAACTAGAACTGAACTAGAACTGAACTAGAATTGAACTAGAACTGAACTAGAACTGAACTAGAACTGAACTAGAACTGAACTAACTAGAATTGACTAGAACTGAACTAGAACTGAATTAGAACTGAACTGGAACTGAACTAGAACTGAACTAGAACTTTTTTTTTATTTAATAAGAACTGAACTGGAACTGAACTAGAACTGAACTAGAACTGAACTAGAACTGAACTAGAACTGAACTAGAACTGAACTAGAACTGAACTAGAACTGAACTGAAACTGAACTAGAACTGAACTAGAACTAGAACTGAACTGAACTGAACTAAACTGAACTAGAACTGAACTAGAACTGAACTAGAACTGAACTAGAACTGAACTAGAACTGAACTAGAACTGAACTAGAACTGAACTAGAACTGAACTAGAACTGAACTAGAACTGAACTAGAACTGAACTAGAACTGAACTAGAACTGAACTAGACTGAACTAGAACTGAACTAGAACTGAACTAACTGAACTAGAACTGAACTAGAACTGAACTAGAACTGAACTAGATGAAGAACTGAACTAGAACTGAACTAGAACTGAACTAGAACTGAACTAGAACTGAACTAGAACTGAACTAGAACTGAACTAGAACTGAACTAGAACTGAACTAGAACTGAACTAGAACTGAACTAGAACTGAACTAGAACTGAACTAGACGAACTAGAACTGAACTAGAACTGAACTAGAACTGAACTAGAACTGAACTAGAACTGAACTGGAACTGAACGAAACTGAACTAGAACTGAACTAGAACTTTTTTTTTATTTAATAATAGAACTGAACTGGAACTGAACTAGAACTGAACTAGAACTGAACTAGACTGAACTAGAACTGAACTAGAACTGAACTAGAACTGAACTAGAACTAGAACTGAACTAGAACTGAACTAGAACTGAACTAGAATTGAACTATAACTGAACTAGAACTGAACTAGAACTGAACTAGAACTGAACTAGAACTGAACTAGAACTGAACTAGAACTGAACTAGAACTGAACTAGAACTGAACTAGAACTGAACTAGAACTGAACTAGAACTGAACTAGAACTGAACTAGAACTGAACTAGAACTGAACTAGAACTGAACTAGAACTGAACTAGAACTGAACTAGAACTGAACTAGAACTGAACTAGAACTGACTAGATGACTAGAACTGAACTAGAACTGAACTAGAACTGAACTAGAACTGAACTAGAACTGAACTACTGAACTAGAACTGAACTAGAACTGAACTAGAACTGAACTAGAACTGAACTAGAACTGAACTAGAACTGAACTAGAACTGAACTAGAACTGAACTGAACTAGAATAGAACAGAACTAGAATGAACTGAAAAAGAATCTAAAACTTATTTTTAAATCCGTTTTAATTAAAAATTTCTTACTGTTCCTAAATGCCTTAAAATAGTGAAAAAAAGATTATTTATTTTAATAATAATTGCAATTTTCACTTCTTCTTTATATAAAATATAACAAAAATAATTTGATTTTTTGGAATATTAGCTGCATTGGTTTTTCGAATTTGTTGTTATTTTTTTGCTATATACATTAAATTGATATAAAATTTAGTTTTAAAGCTTATTTCGAATACATATTTATAAATATATAATGTTATTAATTTGGTTTTATGGTTTAAATTTAATTTAGGCTAAACTATACATTAACACTAATCATATTAATTTTATTTTATTATTTTTTTTTTTTATTACACAATTATCAGTATATGAGTATAAATTAGAATTATTAATATTAGAATATCAAGTGTAAATATCATCCGTATTATTAAATGGGGAAAATTAGAGTTTACATTCAGATGAAACTTTTTTTGACCTTTTTTAAACGTTTGGTTTGTTGCTAACTAAATAAATATTTGGTTTCAAGGTTTCAGAGACGTATTACGTTAATAGTTATTAAAGTTTCCGTTTTTCTTTTGATTTATAAATTCGTTTCAGTTCTTTGGGGCATTGAACCATTTGTAGTCGTAGTGGTTATTGTATGATTATTATTTAAACAGGAATTATTATTGGAAGTTGTAGACGATACTTTCAAATCATTAAATTTTGTACAAATTCCTAAAGCTGCCGTCGAAGCGGAGGAGGCAGCTGCTGTTGTATTCGTTATATTAGAGGGCACTGTTGTGTTATTGTGTTGCCTTATGGTTGTTCTTACACGTTCTCCTTTACCGGGTCCTAGGCCAGAAGTGGAGGAGGAGGTGAATAGTTTTATATGTCTTATGGAAGAATGTCTGCTGTTAGGAGCTCCCGTTTGTTGGTTACTTGTTATCGGTTGTGTTCTGGTGGTGCTGCGCATTGACCATTCATTTTGTTTTAACAGAAATTGTTTGACATTATATTCCATTTGGGCAATATCAACACTTTGGGTGGTGGTGTGAAGTTCAGCTTTAATGGCTCGCGTTTTATCACTGTCATTGGGATAGTATTTATAGTTGAGTATATCACATGTTGGCTGTTCGGGTATAATTTGCGAACAATGAGAACTAGAATCTTGAGCATCTTGGGAGGCAACTGCTGCAGCAGCGGAGGCTGTATAAGCTACTGGTAGTCCTGAACGTGAAGTACGACGGTAGTAGGTTTGGGCTGTACTAAAGATTTGTGTATTATCTGTTTGCTCTTGTTTAGGCGAGTTGTATTAGAGTTCGAATTTGGTGGAAAATTCAAAGGACTTTGATTGTTAAGGTCAGATTTGGGTGATAAAGAATCATCTGAGGTTTTAATAGTTTCATCTTGAGAAGAATTCGTTATGGGCTGTAGTTGTGGTGTGGTCTTATAACCCGAATCCATAGAAAGTTTTTCCACTGATACCGAATCCAATTGATCGAGTGTAGAAATGAAGATTGATGATCGGTAACCGAAGAATCACAGTGATTTAATGTACTCAAATGTTGTTGCTGCTGCTGTTGTTGTTGCTGTTCCATTTCCATTTGTTGCGTATTATTTTGCACCCATTCGGCCACCCTACTCAATTGCTGTCTTCTTAGTATAACCGTTTCCTGAAAATCTATATTTTCACTAATGGAACTTGATTGTGTCCCTGACATCTTGGATGTATTATCGTAATTAGTAGTAGTGTGGTTTGTAAGCAGGGTTTTACCGCTTCCATCTTAATTTCTAACAAATTATCAGTCTTTTCATCACCACATACTAAAATTGTTTCTTCATTGGGATTTGCCGCTGCTAAAACATTTAAACACTCGGTTTGTGGTTGTTCTTTTATGGCTTCGGGTGCATCTGTGTCCTTCAGCTCTTCTATTCCAGTAGTTTCGGTTTCTATGGCCTCCTTAGCGGTTTCTATTGCCGGCTGCTGGCTTTCCCTGGTAGTTTTGGACGTTATAATATCCTTGCTGTCATCTAGTTCTTCATCTAGCAAACGTTCACGCCTTCGATAGATGACGGGAGTAATGGCCTCAATTGACTCTATATTGTCTAGTAAAATATTGCTTTGTCCGTTCTGTTGTATACGCATGGCACAGAGACGTGGTCCTCGGTATTGGGATTTTCAGCCTAAAAATTATATTTCAATGAAATTAAAAATAAATTTAAAAAAAATCCTCGATTTACGTTTCATAATGGAGGAAATTCAGTTCTAGTTCAGTTCAAGTTCAGTTCAAGTCAGTGCTAGTTCAGTTCTAGTTCAGTTCTAGTTCAGTTCTAGTTCAGTTCTGGTTCAGTTCTAGTTCAGTTCTAGTTCAGTTCATAGTTCAGTCTAGTTCAGTTCTAGTTCAGTTCTAGTCAGTTCTAGTTCAGTTCTAGTTCAGTTCTAGTTCAGTTCTAGTTCAGTCTTAGTTCAGTTCTAGTTCAGTTCTAGTTCAGTTCTAGTTCAGTTCTAGTTCAGTTCTAGTTCAGTTCTAGTTCAGTTCTAGTTCAGTTCAGTTCTAGTTCAGTTCTAGTTCAGTTCTAGTTCCAGTTATAGTTCAGTTCTAGTTCAGTTCTAGTTCAGTTCTAGTTCAGTTCTAGTTCAGTTCTAGTTCAGTTCTAGTTCTAGTTCAGTTCTAGTTCAGTTCTAGTTCAGTTCTAGTCAGTTCTAGTAGTTCAGTTCTAGTTCAGTTCTAGTTCAGTTCTAGTTCAGTTCTAGTTCAGTTCTAGTTCAGTTCTAGTTCAGTTCTAGTTCAGTTCTAGTTCCAGTTCTAGTTCAGTTCTAGTTCAGTTCTAGTTCAGTTCTAGTTCAGTTCTAGTTCAGTTCTAGTTCAGTTCTAGTTCAGTTCTAGTTCAGTTCTAGTCGTTCTAGTTCAGTTCTAGTTCAGTTCTAGTTCAGTTCTAGTTCAGTTCTAGTTCAGTTCTAGTTCAGTTCTAGTTCAGTTCTAGTTCAGTTCGTTCAGTTCTAGTTCAGTTCTAGTTCAGTTCTAGTTCAGTTCTAGTTCAGTTCTAGTTCAGTTCTAGTTCAGTTCTAGTTCAGTTCTAGTTCAGTTCTAGTTCAGTTCTAGTTCAGTCTAGTTCAGTCTTAGTTCAGTTTTAGTTCAGTTCTGGTTCAGTTCTAGTTTGGTTTACCAAAAAACGTACCTTTATTGTTTTTATTAGATTTCGATTGAAATTTTCAAACATTTTAGCACCTTCACAACTGCTCGTCTTACTCCAGACACTATTCACACTTCCAGAGATCTGTGTTTTTAACAGTCCATTTGTTACCTTGGGATCTAAAGCACTTTTAGTACTAGCTGTGGGAGATTTAATAGGATCCCTGGATGACACTCCTAGTTCACAAGAACTTTCTGTTCTTAATTTACTCTTAACCTTTAAGGACTCCCTTTCCTCCAGCTCATCATCTATAAGATTAGAATGTAGCAAATTAGAACCCAACAAAGGTTTTTCCTCATCTTCTAAATCCTCATTTCCGTTTATATCTTCGTGAGTAATCATTTTCAAAGAATGTTTTTTGTTATTCAAAAGTTTAGAACGTTCCTCCAACAATTCTAGAGCTGTACCTCCGCCATCTATAAAACGTCTTTGATATCCATTCAAAGTTCTCATATTGTCTAAAATTGTATTGTAAGAAGTTTTAGCCGTTTGACCAGCTTGACCCTGGACTCCTTTGAGTAGAGAAGTACGCTCACACAAACGATGATGTCCCAATATGGGATTAACCATTAAATCATCTTTTTTCGCAGGCGTAAATAATTTATCCATTTCATTAAGATCCGATACTGAACTTTTCGTTTCCGATATTACCGAATCACTAGATTTAAGAAGATTTTTAGTGAAAGGACTGTTAGTGCGTGAGGGTGAGTTAAGATTGCTATAACATCTCAAACACAGCTGGGCCATTGAATCATTGAGATTACCATTACTGCTATTGGAATTTATAACGAATGGAGTTTGTGTGGCCACCGAATAGGAGCGTGATACATCGGCCAACACTGTTAGGTCCTTGGAACACTGACAAGTATCACAATGTTTAATTTCACCAGCCTTTAATTCATCTTCTAAGAATTTGGCCATGACTACAGGTGATATCATGTCATTACCATTAAGAGCACAATTTGTGGTGGTGTTGACTGTTGTAGTATTTAACGATGTTGTAGAATTACGTATGGTATTATTGCCGGAATTATTGTTGTTATTATTGTTGCTGTTGTTGTGGTTATTGTTGAGCGTATCACTTGTGCTGTTGTTGTTATTATTTGATAAATTTAATGTGGACTCGGAATTTTGTTTAGCATCTAGAGTTTTGAAGTTGGAATTAATAAAAAAACGAGAGAGTTAATTTTGGTAATAAGGTTTTCAATTATAACAAAAACAGAAGCATTTTTATACTTTTGTAATCTGAAAATCAGACAAAACTCGACTCCCTGTTCTTAATTGCTTTTTATTAGGGGCCAAATTATCGGATACGCGATTAATTAAACTTTCAAAAACACATTTCGATATCGAAATTTTGCCAAAACTAGGCTATAGACTATACTATAGACTAGACTACAGACTAGACTATAGACTAGACTATAGACTAGACTATAGACTAGACTATAGACTAGACTATAGACTAGACTATAGACTAGACTATAGACTAGGACTATAGACTAGACTATAGACTAGACTATAGACTAGACTATAGACTAGACTATAGACTAGACTATAGACTAGACTATAGACTCGACTATAGACAGACTATAGACTCAACTATAGACCAGACTATAGACTCGACTTAGACAGACTATAGACTAGACTATAGACTAGACTATAGACTAGACTAGACTAGACTATAGACTAGACTATAGACTAGACTATAGACTAGACTATAGACTAGACGATAGACTATAGACTAGACTATAGACTAGACTATAGACTAGACTATAGACTAGACTATAGACTAGACTATAGACTAGACTATAGACTAGGACTATAGACTAGACTATAGACTAGACTATAGACTAGACTATAGACTAGACTATAGACTAGACTATAGACTAGACTATAGACTAGACTATAGACTAGACTATAGACTAGACTATAGACTAGACTATAGACTAGACTATAGACTAGACTATAGACTAGACTATAGACTAGACTATAGACTAGACTATGACTAGACTATAGACTAGATAGACTAGACTATAGACTACACTATAGACTAGACTATAGACTAGACTATAGACTAGACTATAGACTAGACTATATACTAGACTAGACTATAGACTAGACTAGACTAGACTATAGACTAGACTATAGACTAGACTATAGACTAGACTATAGACTAGACTATAGACTAGACTATAAACTAGACTATAGACTAGACTATAGACTAGACTATGACTAGACTATAGACTAGACTATAGACTAGACTATAGACTAGACTATAGACTAGACTATAGACTAGACTATAGACTAGACTATAGACTAGACTATAGACTAGACTATAGACTAGACTATAGACTAGACTATAGACTAGACTATAGACTAGACTATAGACTAGACTATAGACTAGACTATAGACTAGACTATAGACTAGACTATAGACTAGACTATAGACTAGAGCTATAGACTAGACTATAGACTAGACTATAGACTAGACTATAGACTAGACTATAGACTGACTATAGACTAGACTATAGACTACTAGACTAGACTATGACTAGACTATAGACTAGACTATAGACTAGACTATAGACTAGACTATATAGACTATAGACTAGACTATAGACTAGACTATAGACTAGACTATAGACTAGGACTATAACTAGACTATAGACTAGACTATAGACTAGACTATAGACTAGACTATAGACTAGACGATAGACTAGACTATAGACTAGACTATAGACTAGACTATGACTAGACTATAGACTAGACTAAAGACTAGACTATAGACTAGACTATAGACTAGACTATAGACTAGACTATAGACTAGACTATAGACTAGACTATAGACTAGACTATAGACTAGACTATAGACTAGACTATAGACTAGACTATAGACTAGACTATAGACTACGCTATAGACTAGACCATAGACTAAACTAGAATTTAGACTACACTATGGACTAGACTGTAGCCTAGACTAGAATATACTATATAATAGACTATGAACTAGAGGTATATTGACTACTATGTGAACTATTTCTCAAAAGTTTATAAGGTTATTTTTACAAAATATTATGACACGATATCTGAAATGCCAGATGTGATAAAAAAGTTTTGAGGCCAGATTCGAATTCAAAGTTACTTTTTTAAAATATGTATATTTAAACGTTAAAATTTTTTTATTTAAATAGAAAACTATTTATTTTTTTTTTTTCAAAATATTGGTCTAAGACAATTAATTTAAAAGGGTTAAAATAAAGTATAAAAAATAATGCTTCTGTTTTTGTTTTACATAAAATTTATGAAATATTTTATATTGTTTTGTTACTTTTTTCAACTATTAGCAAATTAAAATATAACAGAAAGAATAAAACAATTACAGTAAAAGATAAAATAATAAACAAATAAGTGAAATGTAATAAAATATAAAAAAATCTAATAAAATTAAAATGAAATAAAAACCACAAAAAATTCCATTTGAAATAAAAAAGGAAAATTCAAATACATAAAGTATTACAAAAAAATCACATATACAAACCCAAAATTCATGTAAAATAAAACACCCAAAATCCCCCCAAAAGTTATAACACTTTTGAAAGATATTAAATTAAATAAAAAAATGCTAAATAAATAAATAAAATAAAATTTAAACAAAAAAAAAGAGAAAAAAGCATGGTCTACTAACACTTACCAAGGCCCCTCATGGAATAAACCATGGCTGTGGGCGGAAAGGGACAGGGAGCCGGTGGTGGTGAGTCCGTTGCTGGAAGCACTTTATAGGCAGCTGTTGTTGAAATACCAATTCCCGTAACACTACCCTCAGAATCGGAATGAGAATTGGTGTCCAAACGCATATAAGAAGAAACTTTCGATTGTATATCAATTGGAAGCTGTGGGAAAAATTGATTTAAAAAAAATAAAAATTTTCTTTTTAAAATGTATATTCAAATACTAACGGAAGATATTTTTTGTGGCACAAAACCATCAGGCTTGCATTGCAATAATTGTATGGCCAAATTGATGTCTGTTTTGTAACGTTCCTGCAAATAAATAGAAACAAAAAACAATTGATTTAGTATAGAATTAGATTTTTTTGTCTGTTATTTTTTTCTATTTTAAATCAATTTATTTGTTAGATAACGTTGAGTTTTTGTAACTATAGAGTTAAAGTTTATATCGTTAGACGTATAGTGAGTGAGTGGTACTTTTCGTTTTGTTATTTTCAATTTCAATATTCTTTTTTTTTCTCTATCAGTTTGCAATATACATATCGACACATATATATTACTAAATAATTTAAAATGTTGCCATGCATTTCAATTCGTTTGTTTTTAAAAAATTCTATGAATATAAAAACTAAATAAAATATAAAGAAAACAAGTAACAGTTCTATATTCGACTGTGCCGAATCTAATATACCCTTCACCATAGTCAATACTTATTTTATTAAAATATAGTCTAGTCCATAGTATACTCTTAGTCTAGTCTTAGTCTAGTCTAGTCTAGTCCAGTCCAGTCTAGTCTCTATCTAGTCTAGTCTAGTCTAGTCTAGTCTGTCTAGTCCAGTCCAGTCCGTCTTCTATAGTCTAGTCTATAGTCTAGTCTATAGTCTAGTCTCTAGTCTAGTCTAGTCTATAGTCTAGTCATGTCTAGTCTAGTCTAGTCTAGTCTAGTTATAGTCTAGTCTATAGTCTAGTCTATAGTCTAGTCTATAGTCTAGTCTATAGTCTAGTCTATAGTCTAGTCTATAGTCTAGTCTATAGTCTAGTCTATGTCTAGTCTATTCTAGTCTATATAGTCTAGTCTATAGTCTAGTCTATAGTCTAGTCTATAGTCTAGTCTATAGTCTAGTCTATATCTAGTCTATAGTCTAGTCTATAGTCTAGTCTATAGTCTAGTCTATAGTCTAGTCTATAGTCTAGTCTATAGTCTAGTCTATAGTCTAGTCTATAGTCTAGTCTATAGTCTAGTCTATAGTCTAGTCTATAGTCTAGTCTATAGTCTAGTCTATAGTCTAGTCTATAGTCTAGTCTATAGTCTAGTCTATAGTCTAGTCTATAGTCTAGTCTATAGTCTCTAGTCTAGTCTATAGTCTAGTCTATAGTCTAGTCTATAGTCTAGTCTATAGTCTAGTCTATAGTCTAGTCTAGTCTAGTCTATGTCTAGTCTAGTCTAGTCTAGTCTATAGTCTAGTCTAGTCTATAGTCTAGTCTATTCTAGTCTAGTCTATCTCTCTCTATCTAGTCTAGTCTATAGTCTAGTCTATAGTCTAGTCTATAGTCTAGTCTATAGTCGTCTATAGTCTAGTCTAAGTCTAGTCTATAGTCTAGTCTAGAGTCTAGTCTAGTCTAGTCTATAGTCTAGTCTATAGTCTAGTCTAGTCTAGTCTAGTCTATAGTCTAGTCTAGTCTAGTCTAGTCTATAGTCTATCTATAGTCTAGTCTATAGTCTAGTCTAGTCTATCTAGTCTATAGTCTAGTTATAGTCTAGTCTAGCTAGTCTAGTAATAGTCTAGTCTATAGTCTAGTCTATAGTCTAGTCTATAGGTCTAGTCTATAGTCTAGTCTATAGTCTAGTCTATAGTCTAGTCTATAGGTCTAGTCTATAGTCTAGTCTATAGTCTAGTCTATAGTCTATTCTATAGTCTAGTCTATAGTCCTATTCTATAGTCTAGTCTATAGTCTAGTCTATAGTCTAGTCTATAGTCTAGTCTATAGTCTAGTCCTATAGTCTAGTCTATAGTCTAGTCTATAGTCTAGTCTATAGTCTAGTCTATAGTCTAGTCTATAGTCTAGTCTATAGTCTAGTCTAGAGTCTAGTCTATAGTCAGTAGTCTATAGTCCTAGTCTATAGTCTAGTCTATAGTCTAGTCTATAGTCTAGTCTATAGTCTAGTCTAGTCATAGTTAGTCTATAGTCTAGTCTATAGTCTAGTCTATAGTCTAGTCTAGTCTAAGTCTATAGTCTAGTCTATAGTCTAGTCTAGTCTAGTCTATTAGTCTAGTCTATAGTCTAGTCCTATAGTCTAGTCTATAGTCTAGTCTATAGTCTAGTCTATAGTCGAGTCGATAGTCTAGTCTAGTCTATAGTCTAGTCTATAGTCTAGTCTATAGTCTAGTCTAGTCTAGTCTAGTCTAGTCTATCTAGTCTATAGTCTAGTCTAGTCTATAGTCTAGTCTAGTCTATAGTCTAGTCTAGTCTATAGTCTAGTCTATAGTCTAGTCTATAGTCTAGTCTATAGTCTAGTCTATAGTCTAGTCTATAGTCTAGTCTATAGTCTAGTCTAAAGTCTAGTCTATAGTCTAGTCTATAGTCTAGTCTATAGTCTAGTCTATAGTCTAGTCTATAGTCTAGTCTATAGTCTAGTCTATAGTCTAGTCTATAGTCTAGTCTATAGTCTAGTCTATAGTCTAGTCTATAGTCTAGTCTATAGTCTAGTCTATAGTCTAGTCATAGTCTAGTCTATAGTCTAGTCTATAGTCTAGTCTATCTAGTCTCTAGTCTAGTCTATAGTCTAGTCTAGTCTATAGTCTAGTCTATAGTCTAGTCTATAGTCTAGTCTATAGTCTAGTCTATAGTCTAGTCTATAGTCTAGTCTATAGTCTAGTCTATAGTCTAGTCTATAGTCTAGTCTATAGTCTAGTCTATAGTCGTCTAGTCTATAGTCTAGTCTATAGTCTAGTCTATAGTCTAGTCTATCTCTAGTCTAGTCTATAGTCTAGTCTATAGTCTAGTCTATAGTCTAGTCTATAGTCTAGTCTATAGTCTAGTCTATAGTCTAGTCTATAGTCTAGTCTATAGTCTAGTCTATAGTCTAGTCTATAGTCTAGTCTATAGTCTAGTCTATAGTCTAGTCTATAGTCTAGTCTATAGTCTAGTCTATAGTCTAGTCTATAGTCTAGTCTATATCGTCTATAGTCTAGTCTATAGTCTAGTCTATAGTCTAGTCTATAGTCTAGTCTATAGTCTAGTCTATAGTCTAGTCTATAGTCTAGTCTATAGTCTAGTCTATAGTCTAGTCTATAGTCTAGTCTATAGTCTAGTCTATAGTCTAGTCTATAGTCTAGTCTATAGTCTAGTCTATAGTCTAGTCTATAGTCTATAGTCTAGTCTATAGTCTAGTCTATAGTCTAGTCTATAGTCTAGTCTATAGTCTAGTCTATAGTCTAGTCTATAGTCTAGTCTATAGTCTAGTCTATAGTCTAGTCTATAGTCTAGTCTATAGTCTAGTCTATAGTCTAGTCTATAGTCTAGTCTATAGTCTATAGTCTAGTCTATAGTCTAGTCTATAGTCTAGTCTATAGTCTAGTCTATAGTCTAGTCTATAGTCTAGTCTATAGTCTAGTCTTTTGAATAACAAAACAGTATCAGAAATAGTCCTTGGTACCAGAGTTACAAAAACACACTATTACAATATTTTTTTTTTAATTTTTAAATTTTTTCCCATCTCTGTTTAATTTTCCACAAACTTAAAGATATAATATAATGTAAGACCTCAATAACAATAATCAACCTATAATAATTAATTAATTGATTTTAAGGCAAAACAAACAAACCTGAATTAGCAAAAATTCATTGTCATTACATTTTTGCATATAAACTTGAAGAATTTTTGGATATATTTGATTTTGTCTTGTGAAAAGAGATTTCATAACAGACACGGACAGATATACAGGCAGGCAGACGGACATGACTAAATCTACTACGCTGTCTATAAGGAATCGGAATGTTACATTGTAGAAATTATAAACGGAATGACAAACTTATATATATACATATATATCCTTCTAACGAAGCTGAAGGATATAAAAACAAATCTCAGTTATTTTAATAGAACATTTAAAAACGTAACAATTGCATGTTTCCACTCGATTCTGAACAGTACATGTGCAAATACAAGATTGTTTTAATTTTATTATATTTTTTTCAATATATATCTCGAGTTGTTTTTAAGCCCTACAATTAGTTTTGTTGGCAAAATAAGTTTTTCAATTTGTTAACGGATTTTAGTATAAAAAGATATAACGAGTAACAATAGGTGGAGTCATCTAGAAAATTATTGAATAGAGTTTAACTTACAATAACAACTATTGCAAGAAAAATCTTCACTCACAAATCTGCAAACACTAGCACACCCGTAGTTCTTCGCTATCCTAATCGTCTTTCATCGAAAATTTAAAAAGTAATAAGTACTTCTAAATTGTACCATTTGAAGAACTCATAAGTACCTAAAACTCCCTTCTTAAAAATTAACTTTCAAGTTCCCACCAATTAATTATTAATTATCATTAAATACCATTAGAAGAAAGAAAAAGTAGCACAAAGGCACTGCTTTTCCGTTTTCCGTTTATTGGTTCAATATTATAGAGTATACTATAGACTAGACTATAGACTGGACTATAGACTAGACTATAGACAAGACAATAGACGAGACTAAAGACTAGACTATAGACGAGACTAAAGACTAGACTATAGACTAGACTATAGAATAGACAATAGACTAGACTATAGATTAGACTATAGACTAGACTATACCCCAGACTAAATATATACTAAACTATAAAGTAAACTATAGACTAAACTATAGAATAGACTATAGAGTATGCTATAGACTAGACTAGACTATAGGCTGGACTATAGATTGGGCTATAGATTGGACTATAGACTGGACTATAGCCTGGCCTATAGACTTGACTATAAACTGGACTATAGACTAGACTATAGACTAGACTATAGACTAGATTATAGGCTAGATTATAGACTAGATTATAGACTAGACTATAGACAAGACTATAGACCAGACTATAGACTAGACTATAGGCTAGACTATAGACTAGACTATAGACTAGACTATAGACTAGACTATAGACTAGACTATAGACTAGACTATAGACTAGACTATAGACTAGACTATAGACTAGACTATAGACTAAACTATACCCCAGACTAAATATATACTAAACTATAGAGTAGACTATAGACTAAACTATAGAATAGACTATATATATATATAGACTGGACTATAGACTGGACTATAGTCT